GCGAGGAGGGGTTTGGTACTTGTCAGGAAACAGGTCCCGAAGGCTGGCTGTCCCCGAGATGCTCTACAATGCACCCAGACCCTGCGGCCTCATCCCAGGGGGTGCTCATCTCTGCCACCCCTTGGAAGCGGAGGGGGACCAGCACCCCTGTGGAGGGGGCCTCCTCATCCCCGAGGATGCTGCCGGAGCCCAGCGATCCTCAGGGCTCTCCCTTTGCCCACAGGAAGGTGTAAAGCTCCCTACGACTGGGACCCCAAGCTGCAAGCTATGCTCCTGGGGAGGGGTTCAAAGGCAGGAACCCTTCTAGGCCAGCGTCTCCTGCCTCCATGTGGAGAGCTGCAGCTGTGAAGCTGGGAGGAGGAGGAATAGCTGGAGAGGTTCAGCTCGAGGCTTTAGCACTGTGTGCTGGTTGTTTCCCCAGGAAGCTTTTCTGGAGTTTGGGTGAGGTCTGGTGGGGGAGACTGCCACTGCTGCACTGCACATTGGGGCATGAGGGGGGCCAAGAGAATGGGGTCTCCAGCACCCCATAGGTGTGTGGAACGCAGGGAAGACTTGGGAGTCCTGGAGATAGGGGTGGTGATAAGCCCTGTGCCCCTGGTCAGTGCCTGGGCACATGATGGGAGTAGAGGAATTCTTGTGTGTGTCAGGGTGAGTGCTCAGAGTCATGGGGACGAGAGAGCTGTCCCAAGCCTCCTCTTGTCACCTCCCCAAAATACTCCTCACCCAATTTTTCCTCTGGCAGAAACATGCCAAAGGCCTGTTTGGTGGGACCCAAGACTCCAGATGGCACCGGTCCGTGGGAGTTACAAAAAGAATGAAGAAGTGACTCTGAGCTGCGACAGTGGTTTCCAGCCATCCTTCACCCATGTCAAATGTGCAGGGGGAGCTCAGACACTGAATTATTCTGGATCTCTAAACAGAGATGTGTGGCTGGGGAGGAAAAGCAGTGATGCCTGGATCCACATTGAGGGGAACATAGTGTGCATCGGTAAGCAGGGTGTCAGGAGGTGCCTCTTAGGGAGCTTCGTAGTCAAATCCTGTCCCGTTCATCCACCTCTGAGATTCCACCATCAGCACTGTGGCCAGGGATGCACTTCTGATGCCTGATGGGGGCCACTCAGATCTCCCTGCTTTTGATACCTGAGACCACTTCCCCACTGAATTCTGGCACATCCTTGTCCATCACCTGCCTGGGCAGGCCCCAGTCCTGGCTGACACTGACCCACAAGGAGAGCCCCATCCCAACAAGCCTTGCTGAGAGGTCACATCCTGGCAGATGGATTTGTCACCTTCCCTCTCCCTTCAGGGAGTGGAGGGATTGCTGGGGATTGCTGATACCCCACCACATACCCCTGCCCCTCCTTGAAACCTCCCACCACAACTAACACCCACTTTCATTTCTGCCAGAAACATGCCAAAGGCCCCGCTGGGGCCGAGGACTCCGGCTGGCACCAGACCAGGACAATTACAAGAAGAACGAAGAAGTGATGCTGAGCTGCCCTGAGGGTTCCCAGCCATCCTTCACCCATGTCAAATGTACAGGAAAAGTCCTTTCCATCACCAATGGGAAACCAGTACACAGAGAAGCTTGGCTTGGAAGGGACAGCAGAGGTGTCTGGAGCCACGTTCAGTCCAGCGTGGAGTGCGTTGGTAAGGGAGGCATCAGGGGCTCTCCTGGCTGCCCCGCTCTGCCCTCCCCGAGCAGGAGCAGGGGAAGGCAGGCTGGGTGTGCACAGGAGGTTTCAGTGCACACTGGGTTCCAGGCTCTGCCTGCCTGGGGAACTGATGGGTGCTTGCCCCAGGGCTCCAGTGGAGTCTGCAGGGAGGGGACTGGTGCCAGGCTCAGTCCCTGAGGGTCCCGGCAGGAAGGGGCTGTGGGATCAGGGTGGGGGGCAGTGGTCAGAGCTGCCCACACCAGGCCAGGGCAAGGAGCCCGGCAAGCAGGGCTCCAGCCTGCAGTTCACGGGTGTCTGGGAGGTTCCTGGTGGAGGTGCATGGGTGACATGGTCTCCCTGAGGGCTTCTGGAAAGAGCATGTGCAGGGAAGACAAGGGGCTACAGTGCTGCAAGTCTGACAAACATCTGTGGCACAAGTGGCCAAAAGCATTGCACCAGGGTCTGAGGGATTCCAGGACTCTGCTCCCTGTGTCCTCTCAGCCTGTGCAGGCAGGGCAAAGGCCTGACCTCCTCCTCCTTGTGTGCTGGTCTCCCCTCCCAGTCTCTGCTGCATGCCGTCACTGCAGCAGCTGACTTTTGGGCTCAGACTTAGCCTTCTCAGGAGTGCTCAGGGTGCTGTAGTCCTCCATGAGGGATGGACAGGGCACCAGGGTCAGATGCGGGTCCATCAGTCTTCGTGCAGGCTTTGTGCATAGTACGAGCCCCTCATGGGTGCCCCCAGTCCCTGGAGCTCCAGCTCTTCCTGGCCTTTCCTGGGAGGCCTGGGGGAAGCAGCGTGGGGCTCTTCTTGTCCTCAGCCCCTTGCTGGGGGTATGATGCGGGTGGGCTGCTCTATACGGTGTCCTGGAGCTCCATCCCTCACCCCGCTGTGCCAGGGAAGGGGATGCCCCACTCCAACCTCTGGCACACCTTGCCACGCTAATGCCTTCCATCTTGTTGGTGCAGAGAAATGCCAGAAGCCCCAGGGGGACCCCAGGTTTATCTTTGACCAAGAACAGGGGACCTTCAACCCAAATGAAGTGGTAAAGATGAGATGCCCTGAGGGGCACTGGCCTCCCCCCATGGAGATCAAATGTGTGAAGCTGAACCCAAGGGAAGGCTCCACAATTCCTCAGAGCGGCTGGATTGTGAGGAACGGCACGGGCCGCTGGCACCCTATGGAGGGGAACATGACCTGCGTGGGTAAGCGAGCAGGGCAGCCGCTCCGCTAGCGCTCTCAGTCCGTTCTCCCCAGGCAGGGAGGGCAGTGCTGCATGTGTCCCACAGCATTAGTGCCCTGTGCTTGGGGTGGTCAGGGCATGGTGTGGGCATTCCCTCCAGAGAAAGCTGCTGCTGATGCATCCCAGGTTTGTGTCCGTGCTGTTGGCAGCTGGGGCACCCTGCAGAGCGACAGGGGGGACAGGTCCTTGCCACTGTGCGTAGGGTGCCAGGCAGTGTGTCCAGACCAGCCAGATGGGTCTGTCCTGGAGAAGAGCATGACAGCCCAGGAGCAGGAGGGCAGGACCCAGCCCTGGCTGCTGGATTTGTTGGCTAAGTCATTGCTGGTACGAAAGGGACCAGTCACCAGTTACTAGCCCCAGGGTGGCAGGTGCAGAGGGGCCACAAGAACTTGCTCCTGCCCTCCCACAGTTGCCGCAGCACCCAGGGTACCCCTGGGTCCAGGGCCAGGGGAAGGTGCAGCCAGTGCCCGAGTGTAGTCTGGGAGCAGCCTCATCCATATTGTGCTGGGGACTGGCTAGTGAGAGAGGGGCTGATGGAGGTCAGCAGCAGGGCTGGGAGGGAAAGGGAAGGATGTGACCCTCTTGCAATATTTCCTTCACAGATGTCCTCCAGGTTGCCCCTGGGACCTTGGAGATTTCCAGCACCAGCATCAAACTGAACTGGACCTGCAAGCTCCCTGAAGCCTGTCAGCAGATTTGGGCCAGGTGCCGGTTGGAAGAGCATTCCTCCCCGCCCTGTGAGGCTGAGGAGGTGAAGGGAGAGGAGAGGCTACAGGGCTGGAAGGGAACATTCACCTGTCCCCCTCTGCAGCCCTTCACTGTCTACAGTGTCACCATCTCCCTGCCGCCCAGCACAATCCTGTACACACGGCTCCTCAGGACGAAGGAAATGGGTATATTTACAGGAAATGTGAAGGTGCCCTTCGCCCAACAGCACAGCCTGAGCATCTGCTCCCTGCGGTGGTGGTCTTGGGATCAGGGCTGCTTGGATCATGTGGGGCTGTGTGGAAGGGGCTGTGCAGGGCCCTGGAGCAGAGCATGTCCCCTCCTCTCTCTCCCCTCTCACCATGCTGTTGCTGCTGCTGTGGCTCATGCAGCCTTTGTAGGGGACAAATCCTCACTGGCCCCATGTGTGACCCCATCCTCCTGTGCTTCCAGTGCCTGACAAACCGGAGAAGCTGTGGCTGGATCCCAGCACGGGGTCCCTGCGGTGGGAGCCACTGCCCTCCTGCAAAGGGGAGATCATCGGATACCAGGTACCTTGGGAACCATGGACTCCTTGTGGTTCCCCTCAACTCGCCAGGCACCTCTCAGCCTGGAGCTCTGTGCAGGCAGCCTGGGAAGAGGTGTGAGCCCTCCTTGGCCAGGGCCCACCAGCTCTGTGCTGCTGGTGTTTCTGGTGGGGTCAGCTGCCCTGCTGTCTGTCCCCCGCCAGCAGTAGCACCCCTCTCCGCAGAGCTGCCCAGCGCAGGAGCAGGAGGTTGGTGCTGCCGTCCACCAGCTCCTTGTCCTTCCTCTAGCTGAACATCACAGCCAGGAGAGCGCATGATGGTAGCTTCCTTGAATCCAAGCAGGTGTTGGTGAACCAGTCTGTCACTCAGTACATGCCACCTCATCAGATGCCTGGAAGCAAATACACGGTGACAGTGCGGGGCCTCACGGCAGCTGGTGCTGGAGCTGCGTCACTGCTGGAATTTCAAAGCTACGTCTCGGGTAATGGTTGCTCTGCACTGGCTCTGGCTGAGGTGACCTCCCTGGGAGCAAGCACTGAGCCTGGAGCGGCTTCCAGAGCTGTGTGTGCACCCACCCCATCCCCACCAAGAGAGAGGCAAGGAGCTTGGTCACCCTGAGACCCCAATTCAGCAGTGGGGACCACGGGGCTGGATGAGAGCTGCTTTGAGGGGTTGCAGGTCCTGGTCCCCAGAGCAGCTGTGTTGCTTCAGCCCCTGTTCGTGCATGAGAGAGCAGAGCCGGCCCCTCTACTCTTCCACTAAAGAAGATGATACCCACCTCTGCATTTGGGGGGACTCAACATCAGGCAGTGCTCGGGCTGCAGAGCTTGGGTCTGTGTGTCCTCTTGCTGGGCGCAGCTGAGCAGGCTTTCCCACCCTCCGGTTGTGTATGGGAGATGGGGTAAGTCCCCATGCTCCAGAACCTCCCTCCCTCTACCCTGCCTAGCAGATGTAAAGACAGGGGAAGACCATGCCTTGCTGCCTGTCCCTGCAGCAGCCAGGACAGCAGAGCCTGGTCACACGTGTCCACACACCGACGCACACACAACACCATGCAACCACCCAATGCCAAGGTCGGGCCCATCACTGGTGTGTGGTCCAGGCTGTGGCACCCACCCCTGGCTGTGTGTTAGTTTCAGGGCAGCCTCTGGGCCCGTGGCCCGGATCAGCGGTCGTGGTGGTGGTTGTGCTGTCCCTGCTGGTGCCCCTGTCCGCCGGGATCCTGTGGTTCGTGCTGTCCAGGTGAGTAGGCAAGGACTTGGAGTCGCTGCTCTGCCGCAGGCGATGCTGTGCTGTGTGGTGGCTGGGGATGGAGAGAGGGTTCCCCCAGCTTCTCCCACCCTTCTCCGGTTGCGGAGGGTGCAGCTGGCTGGTCCTG